GGAAAATTATATTACACTTAAAAATGAAATTGAAGATGATCTCAGAAAATGGAAAAACATCCCTTGCTCATGGATAGGAAGAATAAATATTGTGAAAATGGCCATTCTCCCAAAACTGTTATACAGATTCAATGCAATCCCAATAAAAATACCATCAACATACCTCATAGAACTCGAGAAATCACTCCTAAAATTCATCTGGAGTGAGAAGAGACCTAGAATAGCAAGGAGAGTTCTAAGCACCAAAGGCAAGGCAGGAGGTATCACAATCCCTGACTTGAAATTATACTACAAAGCAACAGTAGTAAAATCAACATGGTACTGGAACCAAAACAGAGCTGAAGATCAGTGGAATAGATTAGAAGAAACAACCACAACTGCAAACACACTCAACCACCTTGTCTTTGATAAAGGGGCCAAACATGTTCACTGGGAGAACGACAGTCTCTTTAATAAATGGTGCTGGAAAAACTGGCTCTCCATATGTCGAAAACTAAAACTAGACCCATGCCTATCACCATGTACTAAAATAAAATCTAAATGGATCAAAGATCTAAATATTAAAACAGAAACACTAAATCTATTGGAAGACAAATTGGGTAAAAACCTTGAAGGTATAGGAGTAGGTAGAGAATACATGAACAGGACTCAAACCGCATGGGAAATACTTCTCAGAATCAATAACTGGGATCACCTCTTATTAAAAAGTTTCTGCACGTCAAAAGAAGTCTCCAGCGTGGTGAGAAGAAAACCCACAAACTGGGAAAAAATCTTAATGAACTGCCCCTCAAAGGACTTCTATCTAAAACATACAAAGAATTAAAAAAAATCAGACCCCCAAAATTCAAAGACCCAATCCAAAAATGGGCATCTGAGATGAATAAACAATTCTCAGATGAAGAAATACAAATGGCAAATAAATATATGAAAAAATGTTCATCATTATTGGTCATTAGAGAAATGCAAATCAAAACCACACTGAGATTTCATCTCACTCCTGAAGGAATGGCCAAGATCAAGAAAACCAACAACAAATGCTGGAGAGGCTGTGGGGAAGAAGGAACTCTCCTGCAGTGTTGGTGGAAGTGTAGACTAGTGCAACCATTGTGGAGGTCAGTCTGGAGATTTCTCAGAAAACTAGGACTGGAAGCCCCATATGACCCAGCTATACCACTTCTAGGCATATTCCCAGAACTGAAAGCCTCATACCACAGTGATGTATGTGCACCCATGTTTATAGCAGCACAATTTGTAATAGCCAGATCTTGGAAACAACCTAAGTGTCCATCGACTGAAGAATGGATAAAAAAGTTGTGGTATTTTTATACAATGGAGTACTACTCAGCCATAAAAAATGACTGCATTGAGACATTTATAAATAAATGGACGCAGCTTGAGACCATACTCATAAGTGAAATAAATCAAACTCACATGTATAAATACCGAATAGTTTCCCTAGTGTAAGAAATGATAAGAATACACAGAAGTATGTGGTAATCATGATTCCCAATCATACTGGTTTGAAGCCATCTGTTTTCACTCATTAACCACAATGGTTTTAACCTGGGTTGTTCGATTTTAGTATCTATGATAGCACGAATAGCTATTTTGAAGAAAGCAACACAACATAAAAGCTAGTGCTGATTTAATATCGTCTTGTTTTAAAGTCCCATCAAGCTGTAGTCCATCTGTTTCCACTGGTTTTAACATGTTGTATCTTACTATATTTCACTATAAGCTATAGTATAAACAAAACTCTTTATAGGCAAAGAGATAATATAGAAACCATTGTTTGTTTTCTATTAGCAGGTTCTAAATACCCTGTAATTATTGCATTCTCTTGAAAGGCTTCACACTGTCTAGATACGCTTGATATGATAGCATGTGAAGTTACACTCAAATAATTTAAGGAAAGAGGCACTGTGGTGACTATTATGTTAGATTATCTGGTGATGAAACACAGTGATGCTTGAATTGCTCGGTTCTGCCCTGCATTGTTCTATTATAATATCCTCTCTTATCTCAATCTTCCCCCTATTTTTAAAATAATCTATTTTCTCTCATTTTTTAATTAAGGGAAAACTCAAAGAATAATGGGACACATTATAGTAACTTTTTTGTTGTCCTATTAACCTGACTTGAACCCCAGTATTGCTCTCCCCATCTTGTTCTGTCTGATTATTATATATTCTATTTTGTTTGATAATATCAAGTTTGAGGGTATAGGCAATCACTTTGAGGGCAATAAAATATACTATGATGCCCAATATGGACTATCATCCTTTTTTTTTTTTTTGAAGTCCTGTAAGGTCCTCAGTGTAGATTTTATTGGTTTTGTTCCATATTGTTTTGATCAATTCTATTATACCTGATGATATAGACAACTCAATTTGAAAATAGCAAGAGGCACAATGGTAACCACTTTTGATCACCTGCTATTCTATTTTTGCATCACATGCTATGCCCACTCTTCTGTTCTGACTCTGTTTTGCTTAGTCACATTTGTTTTTATTCTCTTCAAAAAAGTAATAAGAACCGTGAGAGTAATAAAACCCTAAAAGTCTAATTGTTACTGTAAAAAAGAGGAAAGTAGGGTGGACTAAGGGATATAACCGCAGGTATGTGTGAGAGTGTAGGACGGAAAACCATATAACTGAGCTCTTGTTGGATCATTTAACGGAACTGTCTCCAATTCCACTGTATGAATGTTCACTTTATATGCTTTAATTTAGTGATATGGACAACTGTTACTGGAAAGATAATGTGTAGCCTGTTAACTGGTGATTTCGTACTGTATATATTTTTTTCTAGAAATACTGTATTATTTGTACCCTTTTACTGCATTGTTTTTATGTCCTTGTTTTTTTTTTTTTTTTCTTCTCTCTTTAAATAAAAAAAAAAAAAAGCGTGGGAAAGAAAGTGCTCTAAAGGATACAACCGCAAGTGTGTTTAGGTGTGTTAAATAGATGACCATATTAATGTTTTTGATTGGATCATTGAACACAGCTGTTTGCAGTCTCACTGTTTGAATGTCCACTTTGTATGCTTTAATCCTGTGACTTGAACAACTATCTCTAAGATGATAATGTGTAATCTATTAAATGGGGATTTCTTACTGGTTTTTTTTTTTTTTTTTTTTTTGTAGTTCTGTATTACTTGTACCCTTATACTGTTTTGCTTTGTTTTTTCTCTTTTTCCTTTTAAATAAAATTAAAAAAAAAAAAAAAAAAAAAAAAGAGTTACAGCACTCTGAGAGCCGAGGTTATGAGGGTCACTTGGAGCCCAGCCTGGGCAGGGTAGCAACTTAGTGAGATCCTATTTCAAAATTAAAAATAAAAAAAGGGGCTGGGAATGTAGCTTAATGGGAATGCCCTAGGTCCAATCCCCAGTATCATAAAAAAAAACAAAATAAATTAAAAAGTTTTATCACAAGTCTTTCTTTCCTTCTCTTTACTTCTCTTCTCCCATCTTCCTTAACTGTCTCCACTTAGAAAAGGCAGCACATTCTGAGATTAACGGCCTGGCTTTCAATTCTTGTCCCATCCCTCACCAGTTCTGTGATTTTGAGCCAAGTTTCTTACCTACCTGAACCTAGTTTCCTCATCCATAAAATGGAAGATGACATTAGCATCTATCTTACAGGACACAAACAGCCACAGGAATTCAGTGTTTAAGATGATGTCTGACACACAAAAAGCCCCAATCTGGGATTATTACAGCACTCGTCTCTCCAAGCTTTCCTCACTTCTTCCTCTGTGGCACTCTATCCTAGCAGGTACCAGACATAGGCATTGCTCAGAGACCCTCTGAATGTAATCCCTTAGGAAAAAAGCTCTAATGTCACTATCTTAGTTTCTTTTCTCATGACTGAAACAAAATACCTGACACCCAAAGTTAAAGGAGGAAAGGTTTATTTGGCTCCAGTTTGCAGAGGTTTCAGTCCATAGTCAATGACTCCAAGGCAGGGGGTGTCACGGCAGAGGGGTATTGCAGAGGAGAAACAGTCCTAAGGCAGGCACACTAGCCTCTTCTGCTCCTTATTGTTCAAGCAAGCTACAGCTCTAAGGCGAGTAAAACACTCACACCCTTAATTCTAGCCAGAACTACGTCAAACCAATCAAAGCACTCATTTAGTAATCACACATCTTTGACCCCAACACTGTACAGTCTAGATCCAGCCACCTCTAAAAAGCCCCCATGACTGCATGAGGCTTTGGGGGGACATCTAGACACAAGCCGTAACAGTCACTGATCTTCATGCTATGGGCACTAAACTACCAAATGTCCCAGCAACAATTTCCTTTAGTCTTCACTACCTTTCCTAAAGTGAGAAAATCTCGACTCTTCTGCTCTCTGGACTATGCATTTCTGTGTTTAACACAGAGCCTACAAGAGTGGTGGCAAACCTATGGCACCTGCTGCAGATAGCTGTTAGGTGTCATTGAAAGCACTAAAAGGTTTACCATCAATGGCCTAGAACATGCTTAAGAACTTTTAAAAAACTTGCTGTGGGCTACAGGTGACGAACATAATGTGACACCCTGAGATTGACCCTCAGCACCACAAACAAATGGCTGAAGGAATGGATGAAATTCTTCCTTCCCTATAACCCTGACAGACCCTGGTAAGGAGTATCATAAGGAGCAAGCCCCAAGGCCCAGCTATTCTAGTAACAAACGCATCCTCTTTCAAGTCTCAGTTTCCTCAGCTACAGAGGATACAAATGTTTCTAGCTGCCATACCAGGCCAATGTGAGAATCAAATCCAACAAATAACTGCATAAAAGCCCCAGGGTCTGTTATTCTGACACAGCACATCAGTGGCGACAACTGTGGAGCAGTGAAAGGGAAGACAAGCTGGTTGTAAGAAGCCATGAACACTGACCTGCCACGGCCCACTGAGTAGGCCATTCTAGGCACTCCCTAGATCTGGCTGAGAAGCAGCCCAACGGTAAGAACCAGTGGAAGAGACGGGGACTGAAGGAGGCATGAGCTACTCACTTGGCTGGGGGTAAGGACAGCATCTTGTGCATGGTGGAGGTCATTCGATCTCTGCCCAGACTGAAGGCATCCTTAGTCAGGGACATGGCTTCCTTGGTGAGGTCCATGGTGGCATGCAGAGCCTCCTTGGTCGCATCCTTGGTCATGTGGATAGCACTTGATAATTCTTCCTCAATGTTCTTCAGGGGGATAGGCTCCCCCTGTCCATTCACAGGAGAATCCTTGCCCACTGGGGATTTCGACACAGCAGGTGAGCTGGAGGCCTGGGCTCTGCTCAGCCTCTTGGCCTGTAGGGACTCAACAGCCTCACGGCTTTTCCCTGCCGCCAGCAGTGCAGGGGGACCCAGGTCCTGCAGTCCTCCATTGCTGTGCGGCCTCTCCTGGGACTCACCCAGATTGTCTGTGCTGCTGTCCTCCAGGACCTTCTCAGGGCTTACCAGGCCCTGCTCAGAGGATGCATCAGACTTTGGTTCCTGCTCCTCTGAGGGGGACAGCTCAGAATCTACGAGGCTGGTGGTGTCTGAGCCAGCAGAGTCTGCATCGACAGCCCCAGGGGCAGGATGCATGAGCAGAGCCACTTCAGCACTGGGGAAGAGGACACCAATGCAAGCTGTCTGGTCCTGCAGAGCAGACCTAGTCATGGCCTGTGTGTCCTTGGCCAACTGTTCCTGAAGCCCCTGCAGCACATCCTTCAGGCGGAGCAGGGCCAAGTACTGGTAGTGGTCCAGCCTCACGCAGATGTGGGCCGGGGAGTGCAGCAGCATGTGGACATCAGCTGCATCCTCCAGCTCTGCCGGAAGCCCTTTGCTGTCTGCTGCACCATTGCCTTCTCCTAGAATATGCGTGACTTCCGTAAGGCTCTTCAGATCATGCTCAGTCTTTGACCTCTGATGGGACACAGAATCAGGGGCCAGGGCCTCCGATCGGACAGGACTTCCAAAGCTAGCTGACGGTTTCAGCCTTCCTTCTGAGGCCAAAAGGAGCTTCCGGGCTTGGGCTTGTTGCCAGCGGAGGGGCAGGCAGGCCCAAATGGACAAGGGGAAAGGGGCCACAAAATTCAAGGAATGGCCTTTTAAATTCTCTGTTCCCTCAAAGTCCAAAGAAATCTGGGTAAAGTGGATGGACCAGAGGTCCTGGGAAGTCTTAGGCCTCTGAGGAGGGAGGGTAGTAGGCCGAGAGAAGCCAGAATCTGTCTGGAAGGCATGGTGCAAAAACAGTATGTGCAGAAGGCTAAAGCCACCAGGCACCTTAGGAAAGTGACCATAATTAGAATGAAAGAACTCCGTAGCAGCAAAACCCCGGAAGAGATTCTGAAGGTCAGAACAGCCACAGTGTGGAGCATGACGGGTATTGGTGGCAACCATGCCAGATGCAGAGATGACAAGGGCCTGGGGACGATACAACTTTGCCAGCTCTCTCTTCTCCAGTGGGAAGCTCACCTTCAGGGAGAAAATGAAACAACTCAGATTAGCCTTCTGAGAATGGGTCTAGCACCCTTAATATGCATATGAAAAAACTTTTCTTGCTTCAGTCAAATGGTCAGAGACAAAGCAGAACTGTGGATTATAACCATGGGGAAAATGCAGCTATGGATAACGACTGAGGACAAAAATCCCAATTCTTTCCCTACTTTCAACCGGTACGCATCCAGCCGGATGTCCAAGTGTTCATCTTTCCGCCTTGAATCTTCCAGCTTATAGATAGCTTTGAACTGCTCCAAGCTGTGGTATAAATCGAGGCAGAAGAGGTTTCCCCAGAGCAGGCTGACCGGATCCACCGTAAATGTCAGATCATTTAACTGAATGTAGAGATTGGGACAGGGAACTAGAAAACAGAAAAGGGGGGAGGGGAACCATCATGTGTAAAGCAGCAGCTGGACTCTTACTTACCAGCTAATATTTATTTTATTATCAAGAGAGCAAACACACATTTACACAGGGCAGAATTTTGAACAAAAGTGTTAATGAAAACAACCCAAATGCCGAAAGCCCATAGCAACACGTGAGAATCTACAGAATAGTCGTAAGGCTAAAATTAAAGATTGTGATCCAGACACAAGTGACCAGCACCACGCGCACCTGGGAGCTCCTGACTATCCGGAAAGTAATACTCGGTGAACTCGATATGAATTGCAGAGATCTGAGCAGGCAGGTTGTGGAGCTTGCGGCTGCAGGAAAGGAGTGTTGATGGCTTCTTGCTTGGCTGTCCAGCTGTAGAAACCTGAGCAACCACAACTTCCTGTTAGCACCTGCAGCAGACCCAGACTAGAAGGCAGTTTCCTCGAAGGAAAAGCCTGTCACAGGAACACAATGCTTCACACACATTCCAGCTGTCCCCACGGTAGTAGGATGCTGTTAGACTAAAGCATCTGGAGGAAACCGGGGGAACTCCCAAGTCCTTTTAAAACTCAGCAGCCACAGTCAGAACAAACAGTCCCTGGATGCCAGTTTGTTCCCCCACCTCCCACTGCCTTCCCAGCAGCTGTGGCACTGCATCCCAGCCAAGCTTGCCAGGGTCCTCACCTGGTGGATGTCCAGGTCATCCACTCGCACAACCATGCAGCTAGAGCGTAAGCGGTGCCATGCTGGAGATCGGAAGGCAGCCTGCCGGCCCTGCGAGGGCATCCTCTCAAGAGGGTTCTTTCGAGGACTGGAGAGAGAAGCTACAGTGGAAAAGAGAACTAAGATACATTCAGCTCCTAGTAACACAATGAAGAAAGTAAAAACCTTAAGAGCATAGATTACGGTAGTATAATAATCGCAGCTACTCAGGAGGCTGAGGCAGGAGGAGGCATAAGCTCAAGGCCAGCATATACAACTTAGTAAGTAAAACTGTCTCAAAAAAATAAAAAGGGTTGGAAGTCTAACTCAGTGCTAGAGCACTTCTCTAGTATGTGCAAGGCCGTGGGTTCAATCCCTAGCACCTCAAAGCAAGAAAAAAAAAAAAAAAAAGAAAGAAAAGAAAAGCTAAAATCATTAATGCTACAAATAGAAAAGAATTTAACACTGAGTCAAACTCAAAAATATTCTTAAGCCCAAAGTAACTACCTACTGAACACAAATGATGACAACTTCTCCTTACACTGCAGTTCTTCCTGAAGACAGAGGACTCCATAAGGAAAATAACACTGATGTCACGGGATAAGACCAGGTTAAGTAGCTGCTCCTCTGCTTTATCCCACTGGTTATTCAAAGGTAAACGGCAAGCGGCCAAGCAACAGGAGGCCTCCAGTCCCTCGTACCCCACCTGCTTTTCTCCGGAAGGGAGCATCCACCCCCAGGTGCCAGGACGCTTTCAACCCCGTCTCTTCCTGCCACTTCTCCATTTTACTCTGGAATTCCATCACCAGCTTCTGGGCCCACTGGCTTCTGGTCTCCATGGCCTCACAGTGCCGAGCCCAGTGTCTGCAGCTATCACCTGCACGATGAAGACACAAAGAGATGTTAGCCCGAAGCCAGGGGTCAGTGTTCCACTTTCCTTCCAGAAAATAAAGGCACGCAGCAGAATCTGACCCTCATCCCCAATCCACAGTTCACGGGGTAAGGAAACATTGGCCACAGCGAGAGTGCCCGAGCTCTCTTGGACTTCACTTGCGCTTTTTTCCTCAGTCCAGCTGTGACTGCCATCCTTGAGCATGGACCACCGGAGAGGCTCCCCACCCAGCGGAGGTGAAGGGCTGAAAGGTGAGCCAAAGCAACATCCCGGACATCGCCTCCCCGCCCCACTTCTTATCAAGTCACCGGGATCCAGGTTTCCAAAAGCCATCCTGCTGGAGGGATACTCCCCAACACTCTCTGCACACGTGCTGCTGGGCAGGCAGGGATGGGCCCCAGATCTGCCCTCAACCTTCTAGGCCACTCAGCCCACCCAGCGTTCTCCTTACCTGCCCAGTGGAACGGGTAGTAGTCAAATGCCATCTTGCGGAAGGTTAGCTGCATGGCGCCACCCGTGAGCCTGTTTGCAGAGACACCTGGTAAAGAAATGCAGATGAGCAGCACTGGCAGGGGCAGAGCACCGAACTACCCCTGAAGCACTTACGAGTGCCCTGGTGCCAGCACCACATCCCAGCCAGGGAGCAGTGCAGCGGAAAGGCCCCAGTGCTGGCTGACTTGGAAGGCTGCGGCTTCCAATTCTGAGTGGCAATAGTAAGCGGATGTTCTACAAGATCCATAGAAAGCATACTGCATGGTCTCTAAGTGGTTCCAGACTTCCAGAAAAGCAAGAGAAACTGAAAATCTTGTTATTCAGGAAGAGAACTCATTTATTTATTTATTTTTGGTCTTTCTGGACAGGGTCTTGATAGACAGCCCAGGCTGGCCTTGAACTTGTAGTTATCTTCCTGTCACAGCCTCCCAAATGTGTCCCCATGCCTGGTGATCCAGGACTCATAATGCTAGGTCTCCCACAGACACATTCTTGACTGTCTCCCCAACCCTGACAATGTTAGTACTGCTGGCCCTCGCACAATACCTGGAGAAGCGTAAGCCAGATTCTCCCCCCAAAACTACAACAAAAACAAAAACCACAACCCACACTGTTTTCCTGGATATTCTGGCACAAAGCTACAACCAAGCAATTTATACCAGATAACTATGACAAACTGTACACACCTTTCTGCACACTAAAAGCAAGGCACAATCCATTAAAAACACAGGACACTGTAGGAAAACTGGAACTTTTTTTTTCCAAATCCATTTTATTCAAACATTAAAAGAAAGAAAAAAACTACAACAAAACTTTAAAATTCATCAACCAGGGGGTAACAACCAGGGGATACATACTTTGTACACTGTCATCCCCAAATCATTCACCCAGAGCAGACATCTGCCTTCAATTGTCCAAACACTACCAGTACAAATCTTTCTCTTCAGCGAACTCAGAGAAATCAGCAGTATAACTATCTTAATTATTTTTATATACATATACACGTTTTCTTTCATTTTGTCACACTAATGAAACAATACAATGTTTACATGTGTGTCTAATTTATTTCTCTAATGAGTATGTTCTCAAGGTGCATCCATTTACCTATAAAAGTGCTCAGTTTACACCTTTCTTTATGGCTGAGTAGTACTCCATTGTATAAAAATACCACATCTTTTTTATCCATTCCTCAGTCAATGGGCATTTAGGTTGTCTCCAAGACCTGGCTATTATAAACTGTGCTGCTATAAACATGAGTGCACATATATCACTGTGGAATATTTTTAATTCTTTTGGGAAGATATCCAGAAGAACAGCTGAGTCAAATGGGATCTCCAATCCTAGTTTTTTTGAGGACTCTCCACACTGCTTCCACAGTGCCTGCAAGAGTCTGCATTCCCACCAACAGTGGAGAAGAGTTCTTTTTTTCCCATAACCCATTCAGCATCTGTTATTGGTTGATTTCTTGATACCAGCCATTCTTTCTGGGGTGAGGTGGAATCCCAGCATTGTTTTAATTTCCATCTCTCAAATGACCAGTGATGTTAAACATTTTTTCACGTATTTATTTGCAAACAGTATTTCTTTATCTGAAAAGTATGTATTCATCTCAGATGCCCATTTTTGGATTTGGTCTTTAAATCGGGGAGGATTGACATTTTTGAGTTCTTTATACGTTCTCAGTAGTGACCCTTTGTCTGAGGAGCGGCTGGCAAACATTTTCTCCCACATTGTGGGTTGTCGCTTCACTCTATTGGTGGTTTCTCTTGCTGTGCAAAAAGCATTTCAGTAAGATGAGATCCCATTGGTGATCTTTTTTGTGACAGTTCCTGTGCAATCTGGGTTTTGTTCATAAGGTCTCTGCCTACTCCAAGGTCTTCAAGAGCTTTACCTAGACTATCTTCCAGAAGATTTAATGTTTCTGGTTTAATATTGAGATCTTTGATCCATTCTGATTTTAGTTTAGTACATGGTGAAAGAGATGGGTCAGTTTCACTCTTTGGCATGTGTACAGCCAGTTTTTCCAGCACCATTTATTAAAGAGGCTGTCTTTGGAAGACGGGAACTTTTAACAGTAAGTCAAACACTGTAATTGCTTTGTGTTTACACTGAATTCTCAGTCAATGAATGAACTACTCACATTTCTCTCTCTCCAATTAGACTAAAATATTGTAAAGTGTAAAATAGGAATGATTTTTTCTGTGTGTGTGTGTGTAAACCTGACCTACCTTATTTTGTACTTCCACCCTGACCCCTACTGGTGTATGAACACAGAATCCCGTGGATAATAGATGCTCAATAAACTTGAGGGGAGAAACACTACAGAACTCAATGGAAGGAAGCCTCATAAAAGCTTCTGAGTCTAAGCTGGAATCTGGAATCCAATACAGACTTCGCCATCACAAATGCTGGACGGGTCACCTTGTTACCAAAAGAAATGCCCACACCACACCAAAATTCATGCTTTTCAGTCCTTCTTTCATGACAACCTCTCCCGGCAAGGAGTAATTTTAAGACTTTTTTTCTTTTGTACCAGGGATTGAACTCATGACTCGTGCTTGCCAGTAAACTTTTTTCCTAATTAAGCCTGCCTCTATGTCTGTGTGCAAGTATATTTACCTGTGCTTTACACATTAAAAACTATGTATATAAAGCTTTTCTCGTTCTTCAATCGAGTTAAGAAACACTAAATAGAAGAAACACTAAATAGATTTTAAGTTAAACTAAATATAAAGCAATTAATATTTAGTTTTTCTGGGTGTAGTGACACCTACCTGTAACCCTAGCACTTGGGAGGCTGAAACAAGAGGATCACTTTGAGTTCAAAGCCACCTTGGACAACACACAAACACCCTACCTCAAAAACAACAAAAAAAAGAAATTTAGCTTATAGTTATAACTGTATTTGCTGATAATGTTTAATTTCAATTACTTATATAAATTATAATGTATATATTATATAATTCATAATTTAAATACATACTAGCCATATAATCAAAATTATAATTATTCAATTTTTTAAATAAAAGTAAAACAACTAAAAATTTAAAAATTATTTTTGCTCAGCTTTTTTTCTTTTTCACTTTTCTTTTTCCTTGGTTTTGTGAGAGACGGTCTTGCTATGTGACCCAACGCCATCCTCCTGCTTCAGCCTCTCAAGTGCTGAGATTAGAGGCCTGTACCACCATACTTGGCTTAACTTTTGCCTGGTATAAAAAAATAACTTTTAAACTAGCTACTAAATGCTCTTCCAGATGTCAAGCTTTTTTCCTTTGAGCAACTGACTAAATACGTGCTTATAGACTTAGATTATTCTCATTTCATTTTCAAAGTATAAGTCACAGAAATGCTGAGACTCACACATAAATAACATTAGCATGCAGCCAGTGGCAGCCAGCCAGGCACGAGGCCATCTCCTTCTGTACAGCTCTGAGGCCCAGCAATCCATAAAGAGAAAGTTCTCTGATCACAGCCATCTACTTGCCACAGTTGTAATGCAGATCTTTCAAGATTCTGTGTGCTATCCACAAATTCAAAGTCAGTACTGCTCAGGTCATACCCATGAAACTCCAACAAGAAAAATTAAATACCTAATAAAAAGATTTTGTCAGGGTTAGGTTTTGGAAGGCCACAAAACTATTATTCCTCAGTCCTTCCAAACCTTGAAGCCAATATCCAACTTCCATAGTAGGCAAAAGGCAAGACAAAAGGATTAGTGCTCGCTAAGGGCTACAAAAAAGGGAATATAGCTAACGGGTATGGATTAGAGGGATAAAAATGTCCCAGAACTGGATTATGGTCATGATTGTACAACTTGGAATAACAGAAGACCACTAACCATCAATGTTTGTTTTATAACCTAGAAGAACTGTATGGTGTATGTTTGTGGTAGTCAGAGGTCGCAAGGAGAACAAGACAACACAGGACACAGAATTTCTAGTATTAGTATAATGGTCATCCAAGGAGTCAGATACAAAGAAAGCACAGGAAATCTGTCCACTTACTAAAGAGCTAGAGAATCCAGCCAAGACCTGAATCCCATGGCCTCAGTCTTGGCTTTTGGATCACCCACAAGGGTGGGACTCCGTTCAGGCAATTCTCACCAATCTGCCCTGCGCTAGGAGCGGCTGAATGAAGCTGGCTGCAGATCTGGTTCCAGGCTTATCCTGCCCAGCTCCAAAATGGCGCCCAACCAAATGCCCACTCCCACACTCACGGACAGCCAAAGCATTTCTCCAGTCTACTGCTCCCTCTACTACCACATCTTCCCACCAAGGCCTTTGGGCTTGCCAACCCCCAACTTCACTGTGACTATGCATCTTCAGATTCCAGTGGTGCTTCTCACAGAGTGGGACCGGCTCTGGTGAAAGTGCCTCTGACTACCACTTTCTGTTTAAGTTTTTATTTTACTTTCTTTCTTTCTTTCTTTTTTTTAATTCTCTCTGTGGGCTTTGACTCTTACTTTAGTTTCTTCTTGGGTAACGGGGACCCATTTCTTTCCTTCTGGTCTTCTCCAGGATGCTATATTCCAGCATCTGGGCTGTTTCTCTGAGAGAGGCTGTTTACTCTGCTGCTTACTATTCTGCCAATCTTCCCAGAATCAGATGGCTAACTTGTGATTGAAAATTTAAAAATCTAGTATGATGCTGTCAGGACAAGATGTGTTCACCCAGCCCACCATAGTCAGACGATCAAACTCTCAGCTGGGACTAACCATGCCAGCTGCAACTTAGAGACAATCCCACCTGGCTCGGTCTGACTGCGTCCATCTGAACGGCTTATACTGTCTGACACATAAACAGTCTATTGTCAAGGACCGTCCATCTGAGATAGACAGTCCAGTCAAGGACACACTTAACTCTACTCACCTGGCTTGGCACCCCACTTCCCAGAATTTCCCCACCTCATAATAAACCATTCCCTTTAGTTAATTCTGCCTGACAATGGATGATTTAATCCATGTAACTGATAATAATGATAACCCGCTGTCAGCTTTTGTACTTCTTGCTTAAGAAATGTTTCCCTCTCAGTCGGGGCTGGTGATTTGGAACTGATTCCCTCTAGCCCACTAGGGTAATAAATCAACACCTTCCAAACTCCTTGGTGCAAAGGGCCTTCCTTTCAGTTCAGAACCAGGTTTCTGCAACAAACTAGGAAACTATGAAAGACTGTGAGGTGCCCCAGGAGAAAAAAAATCAAGTAGATCCCATATAAAAACTGAATCTAGGTATCATTAAGAGCCAAATATAGAACCAGGCATTATGATCCACAACTATAATTCCAGCACTCAAGAGGCCGAGGCATGGGGCCAAGGACTTAGCTCAGTGGCATAAGCACCTGCCTGGCAAATATAACTTCGATCTCTGGTACCACAAAAAAAAAAAAAAAAAAAAAAGGCCGAGGCAGGAGGATCAAGAATTTGAGGTTAGGGTGGGTGACAAGCAAGCCAAAGGCTAGTTTGGGCTGACTGGGACAGGGTCTCACTATGTAGCTTATGTTGACCTTGAAATCACCATACAGACCAAGTGGCAGCAACGCTCCTACCTACTTCAGCCTCCCAAGTGCTGGGACTGCAGGTGTCTGCCACCACACTTGGGCTGGCCTCTGCTATACTGTGACAGCCTATCTCAGAAAGGGGGACAGCATAAAGAGATGGATGCCTATAACCCATCGACTTAGGAGACTAGGGCAGGAGGGTAGTAAGTTCTAGATCACTGGGAAATTTAGCAAGACCTTATCTCAAAATAAAAAAAGCCAGGGGTACAGCTTAGTGCTCCCCTGGATTCAATCCCCATACCAAACAGACATATATACACACACACACAAACATACATATATACCATGCACACGTAAATGACAAGTATATCCTTGAGGGAAGATACAGCAGTTTAAGAAAAATATAAACATGAAAAGATATAAACATCAAAAGTCAAAACCTGAAGGATATGGCAATGTAAAGAGAATACAGAGCCATTATTGAAAGAATGAAGCCAAGTATGGTGGCACATGCCTATACCCCCAGCTGAGGCAGAACCTCAGGTCAAATTCCATTCAGGCGATTTAGCAAGAACCTATCTCAAAATAAAAAATAGTGTTTAAAAGGGCTAGGGAAGTAGCACAGTGGTAGAGTGTTCCTGGGTTCAATTCCCAATACAAAAAAAGAGGGGGGAAAAGGAATAGAATGAGTAGCACAGTAGTAACAAGGCATAACCTCTGTTTACAATGTAAGGTCCTCCTAGCCAGGTGTGGTGTCACACGCTTGTAATCCCAGCATTCTTTTTTTTTTTGTCTTTTTCATTTTTTTATCGGTACCAGGGATCGAACTCATGACTGCCTGCTTGCAAGGCAGGCGCTTATGCCGCTGAGCTAAATCCCCAGCCCCCAATCCCAGCATTCTTAAGAGGATCCTGAGATCCTCATGAGAGCCTGGGCAACTCTGACAGACCCTGTCTCAAAATAAAAGATAAAAAGCTAAGTAAGTGCAACAGCCCTGGGTTCAATCCCCAGGGTTACGCACACACATACATGTACACACACACACACACACACACACACATATACACACATGCACACACACCAACATTTCATTAAAGCCTGGCAACAACCTTCAAGGTAAATGAGTGCTATGATTTCACCTAACTGCACAAACAAGGAAACTCAAAGAAGTAGTGATTTCTCCAAGGCTTATTTAAAAAAAAAATCATTGTTCATTCTGAATAAATCTATTTGTGTATATGATACCAACTATTCTAAGTATGACAACAACAGGGCATAACTCACTGCTTGATAAGAGCAGATTTTACACACAATATATATTTAAACTGATTTTTAAAAATCTAAAAAATTCTGTAGTTTTGACCTTTATAGCTCAGTGGTAGAACATGCACAAGGTTCTGAGTTTAATCCTCAACTAACAAAAACCAAAACAAAGCCCTAAAAGTTCCGAGGCTTGGGCTGGGGATTTAGCTCAGTGGCATAAGTGCCTGTTTGCACAAGGTCATGAGTTCGGTCCCCGATGCCACAAAAAACAAAAACAAGCAAACAAAAAAACAGTTCCGAGGCTTCTTATAGCTTAATTTGACTTCCTCAAATTTTATACCAGTAGTTCTCAACCTCCAGCAAGCAACAGCATCGCCGAAGGGACTTCAGGGGGAAAAAAAAGTTCAACATTGCTTGGACACTACACTCAAAGATTCTGAGTAAGCCAGGCATGACAGTACACATGTAATCCCAGCACTCTAGGAGGTTCTATCTAAACATAGAAAGAATAAAAAGGACTGAAAATATAGTTCTAAGCATCTGGGTTCTACCCTTAGTACAAAAAAAAAAAAAAAAGATTCTGATTTAGTGGGGAGATACCTGCCAACTGTGGTGTGCCGAGTATGACAGGCGGTGCCGCTTCCCCAGAAGGGCTGAGGCCTAAGCAATGAAACCTGCTGAAAGACTCAGGGCACCTCTGGAGACCAGCCTGCCCAAGCCCCGCCCAGGATCCATCAGTGGGGTGGCCCCACCCCACTGATTCGGCTTCTAGGGTACCTGGCTCTCGTGACTGGCTGTCATCACAGATGTGCAGGTCCAGGCGGGAGATGAGCAGGTGGTAGGAGGACTCCTTCACATCGAATTTCTCAAAGTACTGGCTGAGGCGGCTGCTGTTGCTGTTGCTGCTACTGCTGCCACCGCTGTTGCCTGGGCTGCCACCAAAGGCCTGGGCCCAGGACTGCTGGGCAATGGGAGCAGGTGGTGTGACCTACATGTGACAGGAAAAGAGCAGCCTAGACCCCGAGAGGCTCCTCCCAGGCTGTAAGTGTTAGCCCTGCCTGAATAAAATCACACACTGGCAAGATGTCCTTCCCCCGCCTGCCTGCCCGCCGGCTCACTTGGCTCACAAACCTCTGCTGCCCTCCAGGATTCCACTAACCAGGATGTGCCAGCCTGTGTGGAACTCTCGGCTGCCAACTCTTCCCTGAGCGCTCTTCAGCTGGTCAGGGAGACGCCTCCTCTCTGCACTGTCAGGCACAGCGTTCACCTCTGTCACAGCGCTCAACACACCACACTCCAACAACTTGTCCGGGGCCCATCACTCAGACAGTGAGGACCCCAAGGACAGGCGCAAGATGCTTATTTCACTTCTAGCACTGTCTTCTGAACACGCAGGGGGCACCCAATGAACAGAATACACACACTATCCGAGAGGCCCACAAAGTCAGGAGCATCCAGCAGCCACAGATCTCCCAAGTGCAGGTTGGCCCAGGCCCGCCATGTCCCCAGCCCCATCAAGAGCGTCCACTTCGTCTCCCACCTGCGCAGGCTCGGGGGCCAGGCTCTTCCGCTGCTGGGCAGACTTCTCCATGGCCTCACTCAGGGACTCTGCATACTTCATCATGGCCTTGAGCTGGGAGTCCGTGAGCACCCAGAGCAGGTCATCCAGTAGGAACATCAGCTTGGAAGCCACCACATTGCAGTCTTTGGTCTGAGGGGCCACCAAGAAACCTGGCATCATTCCAACTCCTCAAGGGTCAGTTGCATGATCAGTTTTAGAAATAGCTTTTCACTCTCCAGGATATGAAAGGAAAGGGTTAGGGTTGGCGCACTTTGAAAAGCCTATTTATTACAAGACTACCCAACTGGTCTAATTAATCAAAAGCACCAATAATCAACTGTCAGGGGCCTTATCCATGTGGCAATGTGGGTAAAAACTGTGATTTCCAAAATTAAGAAAACAAGGAGAAGGAAATGTTCTCTCACTGGTGAGTACCAGAGCACCCTTCAGCTGTCACTCCAGGAGCCACAAATACTCCAAACAACGAGGGAATGCCAACCCCCAGGCTGTCTAAAGAATAAATGACAGACATTTTCACAAAGACAAAGAGACACTCACTCTTCTCTTGAGGGCTATCTGGATCCTGCCCTGGTTGGTAATAAGCCTCAATGGGGTAGTGATGGAGTCCTGGTCACCATTATCTGTAGCATCTGCCTCAATTCGCAGTGTCTGCCAGGTTATTTCCTTAAATGTTAAAACCTGGAAGGAAAAAAGTAAACCCATTTAACTCCATGAGTGAAATTAACCAAGAGGCAGGGATTCTAAGGGAAAACCTGGCAAGGCAGATCCCAATTTCAGTGAGATCCTAATAGAAAGGGGTGGGGAGGGAGGATCAAAGGTCCAAAATCAAGGGGAGGGAGCAACAGTAACACTGGACACCAAGGAGTTAAGGGTTCCTGGGAATGGGAACATTTGAGGAAATCTCCAAAGAAGAAATATCCTGTAAGAATCTGTCCTAGCCAGGGATACAGCTCAGTGGCACAGCACCTGCCTGGCAAGCACAAGGTCATGAGTTCAATTCCGAGTACCTACTTCCTCCCTTCAAAATGTTAGGGCTGTCACCTCTCCTCGGTGGGGGTCGGTGATGCGGGTCAGACGAAGGTCACTCTGCTGCCAGTTGGGGTTGACGCTATAACCCTGGAGTTGCCACAATTCAAAAGACGCGTGGAAGGCCTTGGAGTGAATCTTGATGGTGATGGAGTTGACGATGATGAACATCCCCTCCACCACCTTCTCAGCAAAGCCATATTCACTACAAAGAAGCAGGACTGGGGGTCAGAACCATGGGAGGTTTCACACACAGCCCTCACACGTGGACTGAGTACTGGGCTCCAGGAGTGTGGGTGCTTTTGTTTTCCTCTCTCACTCCTTCCAGCTTTCATGTTTTTAAATTTCTAAATGTTTTCTTAGTGATAAGTACTTTCTTTAGTGGGAAAGAGAAAAGAGTTGATCTGGAAACAGCCTCCCCCTTGTTGGAAAGAATAAATTGATAAATCTATTGATAGCTCATAAACTACATACGTCAATATTTATGTATTATAGGTGAAGGAATGTATAACTACAGAGAACCACTGGGTTTCTAGAAAATCTCCAAAAGCAGAGAATATTCTGCCAAAGGAAAGAAGGATGAAAGGACAACCAAGTGAGGGAGAGATTTAATTCCACAAGATCTGCTCAAGGACTCTGCCAACACTTCCCAAAGAGCCACAGGAGAAGTCAGAGCTGTCGCAGGGAGAGGAGTGAAGGACACTGTAAAGTCCCTCTGTATGTGGAAAACACAGTTATGAAATGTAGGTGCGATCACTTCTCATTACAAGAAATAAAATAGAAACCTGGAAATTTAAAACTGAAAAAGGGCCATATACATACACATAAATTTATTTTTTAAAAAAACAGAGTCCAACAAAAAATGGCTCATAGTATGTACAGCTTACTGAAAAATAAAGGCAAATAGCTTTAAACATAAAATGATATGGGCTGGGGATTTAGCTCAGTGGCATAAGTGCCTGCCTGGTAAATGCAAAGTCATGTGTTTGATCCCTGGTACACACACATACACTCTCTCTCTCTCTCTCTCTCTCTCTCTCTCTCTCTCTCTCACACACACACACACACACATACACACTCACAAAGAATCAACATAAGTGATACTAAATCTCACTCAAAATGCTATGAGAACCAACGACCTAATTTGTGACAAAAGCAACTATCAGTGAGAAAAAGAGATCTTTGCAATAAATGCTCCATGGTCATCTTGGACTTTATCTGTAAAGAGAAAAATGATATTGACCCCACTTGACATTCAATTTAAAACTTAGTTTCAATACAGATTGGAAATTCAAATGTGAAAAGTCAGTAACTCTTTTAGAAGACAATACCTTCATCATGCATTAATAATGGGGGGGATCCCCCTGAGCAACACACAGGAAGTACTAACCACATAGGAAAAATAGATACACTGGACTACATTAGAATTAATTTTTGCTGAACAAAAACAGTAAGAGTAACAGGAAAGGCTGGAGCTGGAGCTCAGCACAGTATGTGTTTAACATGTACAACGTCTAGATTGATCCCCAGCACTGAAGAAAAAAAAAGTGAAGTTTCAGGTCCAGTTTGGGAGTGAAGTACAAGCTGAGCACGCAAGAGGCCCTGAGCTTCATCTCCACCATCGATACCAGATAAACAAAAAGGAACAGGAAACCCACAGTAAAAGATATCAGCATTACATGTATCTAGCCAGGGATTTGTTTCTGGAATACAAGAAGAACTTCTATAAAATTAAGAAGAAAAGGACAACCCCATATAAATGGGCAAAATACACAGGTGCTCTATAAGAGAATATCCAAAATCCCAATAAATCCATCAACACAAAAATGCAAATTAAGGGGCTGAGGATTTAGCTCAGCGGCATAAGCGCCTGCCTTGCAAGCAGGCAGTCGTGAGTTCGATCCCTGTTACCAATAAAAATGAAAAAGACCAAAAAAAAGGCAAATTACAATCACAGGGCGATTCCAATACATAGCGACCTGAATTGCTAAAGACAGACAATACTAGGTGTTAGCAGGAACGTGGGCAGACCAACACCCTTCTGCCCTGCATGGGGAAGTGAAACCGCCATCACAGAAGCCGGCCCAGAACTTCTGCCAGAGGCCTGTGCGCAGCTGCGATCCTGCACCTCCACTGCCAAGTCTACCCGGAAGAGAAACGCGTTAAGATGGTCCCTGAGAGGCGGGCTACGAAAATGTTCACTGCAGCACTATTCTTCTTCTTCTTCAGTATACTTTTAATGACACGCAGAAAACGTGATTATTTGTGTTGCTCAGGTTTACAGGTCTTCACAAATGCATAGTCATGTGTGGGGTACCACAATCATGGACAAGAACGGTTCCATATAGGAACACTGTATTCCAATACCAGAAACTAGAAATGACAACAGAACGGATTTAATATCAGCCATAAAAGGCAGTAAAGTACTGCTTGCTGGACAAGACAGCACAGTTAAACCCTAAACACGTTTCGCTGAAAGAAGCCCATCACAAAACACCATATAGTAAACAGTGCATTGTATCAAATGTGCAGAGGTGACACAGAACGCAGATCGGGGTTGTACTGGGGCAGGGAAACGAGCAGTGGCCGCTAATGGGTGCAGGGTTCCCTCTTGGGTGACGAAAATGTTCTAACAGCAGTAACTGCACCTCAGTAAATACAGAAGGAAACTCTCTGACCTGTATGGTTCTGGTGGGTGAATCTGATGGTACATGAATTATATCTCAATAAAGCTGTTTTTAAAAATACGCTGGAAAAATGCTAAGTAACTGATCAACAAGGTCATTTACTGCAGTACCAACTGACACAGCAAAAACACTGAAAGTAATGCAAATATCCACCAGCAGAGAACTGGCTAAATTAACTACCCCACAAGATAAGCATATTCAACTGGGGATTTAGCTCAATGACCTAAGCACCTACCTGGCAAGCACAAAGCTGTGAGTTTGATCCCTGGTACAAAAAAAAAAAAAAGATAAGCATATTCCAAAGTACAAAAAAGACTAAAGTGTTACAGTGTGCCTTTTTTTTTTGGTATTGGGGAACAAACTCATGACCTCACACTTGCCAGGTAGGCTTTTATGCCACTGAGCTAAATTCCCAGCCCTAAAGTGTATCCTTTGATACTTTTATGAGATGACTGATAAGATATATTTTAAATAAAAAGGAATGTGGGACACAGTATTTTTAATATACTCTGTTTTGTGGAAGAAAGCAAGTAGAGAATATATATATATATATATATATATATATGCACACACACACATACACACATACCTTGTTCTATTTATTTATTTGTTTCTTTCTTTGTTTATTTTGGTTTTTTGAGACAAGGTCTCACTATATAGTTCAGGCTGGTCTTGAACTGACTATGTTGTCCAAGCTGGCCTCATACTTGCAGTGATTCTCCTGCCTCAACCTCCCAAGTGCTGGGATTACAGGTGTGTACCACCACACCAAAGCTGTATCTTGTTTTATAATTTAACTAAAAGCTATGCAATACAGTTAAAACATAAATTTAAAACAATTTATAAAACAAATTGAAAGAAACAAACCTCCCATATGTTAAACTGGCACTCAATTATATACAGAATGATTTCAAGTGACCTTAAAACATGATATTTTTAACATACATCCCTAATATGATACAGTATAAGGAAATTCTTGAATGGGATATGGCAGCACATGACTGTAATCCTAGCACTTGAAAGGCTAGGGCAGGAAAATGTTGTGAGCTTGAGGCCAACCAGGACTCCATAAGTGAGTTCAAGGCCATCATAACCTACACATCAAGACCCTGTCTCAAAAAACAACACAACATCAAAATAAAAGCCAAAAAAAGAGAAAACTGCTTTAGAAAAATTATTTTCTGCAAAGAGTAAACTGTGTGTGTGTGCTGTCTGGGGCTCAGGTAAGAGTCAGTGGTAAAGAACCTACCCTACCCGCACAAGGCCCGGGTTCAGTCCCTAACACAGCGCACAGAACACAAAGTGTGTGTGCTGGGAAGGTATATAAAGAGCTTCCAAACAAGCACGATTTAAATGGAGTATATGAGCCTTTTCTGATCCACACTGTCCTTTTAAATGTATTTTTTTATTCCAGTACTGGGGATGGATTCCAGGCCGCACATATGTCAGGAAGTATAAAACTAAATTGCATGCTCAACCCTAAAAAAAAATATTTAAGAGATAATTTAAGAAAACATTATAAACTGGGCATGGTGGCACATGCCTATAATCCCAGCATTTGGGAGGCTGAGGCAGAAAGATCATTGCAAATTTGAGACCAGACCAGCCTGAGCTACAAAGTGAGCTCAAGGCCAGCCTGAATTGCACAGTGAAGCCCTATCTCAAAAAGTTAAAAAAAAAAAAAACCTGACTATAAAATAGGATAGGTGATATTATGTAATTCTTAATTCTTATTACTTTACTAAATGTGATAGCTTTTGTGGGGTTTTTGCCAGTTCCCCCACTTTTTTTTTGTCTTTTTGAGACAGGGTCTCGCTATGTAGCTCAGGCTGGCCTTGAGCTCACTTTGTAGCTCAGGCTGGTCTTGTTAACTTGCAAGGATTCTCCTGCCTCAGCTTCCCAAATGCTGGGATTACAGGAATGCATCACCATGCCTGGCTACCAGTCCTTATGTGTAAAGACACATGAAATGACAGGATTCACAGGTGAAACCATATGGCATCTGGGATTTGCTTTCAAGTACTACAATGCACACAAACACACATAAAGAGGCAGAATGAGATGAAAAAAAGAGAGGACAAAATGTTGATAATTGTTGGCTAGGTCTAGGGTGGCTGGGGTTCACTACATTGTTTTCTCTGTGTCTGAAACTTTCTATGAGACTCTAACTATAAGGGTTTCCTGGAGTAGGTGACGTGTTGGAATGACAGGGCTCAAAGCAACCAACCTCTGTCCTGAAGCAAGGGCGATGGGGGACTGTCCATTGGGGGGCCGCGGCTCCTCACAGGTCTTCATCTCCACCTCAACCTTATCCAGGCACTGGAATAAAAGCCAGACAGAGATAAGCGTCTGCTCAAAAACCACATGGCACAGAGGAAGATTGCACACTGTGCACTGATAATCACCCACTAGCCAACACAAACTAAATCTGTATGTGTGTGGTACTGAAGACTGAACCCAAAGCCTTTATGCTAAGCTACATCTCCAGGCCTATTTCATTTGAGACAGGTCTTACCAAACTGCTAAACTGCCCAAGTTGGGCTCAAATGTGCAACCCCCTGCCTCATCCTCCCAGAGTGCTGGGATTTTGGGCATACATCACTAGGCCTAGCTACAAACTAAACTCCTAACTTGTACTATCAGAATTTTAAGTTATCTTGGCTTATATCTAGATGTTTCCCCAAAGCCTCACACAATCATAGGTGGGGCTTTTTCAGAGGTGGCTGAATCTAGAGTGTATGACAGACTCATGATGCAATGCTAGGATTAAGGATGGGAGACTACTAAATCAGTCCCCTGGTTGGTTTGGCACCTCCCTAATCCCTGTAGCCTGGATACAATATATGGGATGGAAGAAAGTTTATCTTGCCCCGTGACTGCTTTGCTATCTTCTGCGGACTGCACCCAAAAGGGTCAGCTTATCGAGACTCCTATGCTTTAAAATCCTGCTCCAGCCATCCCTATTTGATTACTTGCAATCAAAAAAAGCCATTACCAAGCAAATTGGGTGTGTCTTCAACTTTGTCCATTGGATCTGAAAGAGGAAAGCAAAGACTTAGGGCTGTGGAGCTGCCCTGCAGGAAGGCAGGCCCACTGGCCAGGAAGAGCAACACAGCTACAACCCCATCCTCACCCGGATGGAGGCCCTGTTGCAGTAGACCCGAGTGATGGCTAACCAGGTGGGCAGCTCCAGCACATTCTGCAGAACCTCTTCATCCAGCTCCAGGTTGGTCAACTGACCCTCTCCTTTCAGGGTGCTCAGGTTGATTTTGTCTGGAGATAGATTCTTAGTGAACCTGAGAAAAGAGCAATGAGAAGAAGTTATTTCCATGGGCACATTACACTAACAGGCCTGTGTCTGGAGAAACAAGTTAAAGAACAGATGCTAACTAATGAATTTGTAGCATGTGAGATGCTGAGACTTATTCTACTTATGATTGTCACAATCCTACAGTGAAGACTCTACAAAAATGGTTGTAGCAGTGGCAACATAACTTTTTGACATTTCTGGATCTCCACATAAAAACAGCTGGTCTTAGTGGTACATGCCTGTATCCCCGCACTGGGAGGCTGAGGCAAGAGGACTGCAAATTTGAGCCCAGGTTGGGACAATTTAGTATCTTAGTGAAACTTGGTCTCAAATGTTAAAAGGAAGGCCAGGCATGGTGGCTCATGCCTATAATCCCAGCACTCGGGAGGCTGAGGCAAGAGGATCATTGTGAGTTCAAGATCAGCCTGGGCTACCAAGTGAGCTCAAGGCCAGCATGAACTGCATAGCAAGACCCTGTGTCTAAAAGACAAAAAAAAAAATTTTTTTTAAAGGGATAGGCACATTTCACAGCCTGAAGACTTTGGGATCTAAAAACCAATGCTTTGAAAAGGAACTAGAAAATAAAGTATCAGGGGCTGGGGATTTAGCTCAGCGGCATAAGGGCCTGCGTTACAAGCAGGCAGTCATGAGTTCGATCCCTGGTACCGATAAAAAGGAAAAAAGACAAAAAAAAAAAAAAAAAGAAAAAGAAAACAAAGTATCATCATAAACCTCCATATCAAGCAGGTAGACACAAAATATCAACAGCAACAAGACATACACCAGTTGCAATGGCACCTGTGTGTAATCCCTTGAACCATTAGTTCAAGGATATCCTGGGTATAGAGCAAGCCCCCAACTAAAAAAAAAGCAGAAGTAGAGGCAGAAGCAGAAGCAAAAGAAGACACAAATGCTATATGCAGCTGTGGAGAACAAAGCAGAGGAAGAGAGCGGGCATCTGACAAAAGACTGAGAAGAAAATAACCCAAGACAACCAAGTACCAAGATAACCAAGTGAGTGCTCAATGAAAAGCAATGCAGACCAGCGGGAGAGGAGTACCTGCACCCAGGAGGACCGTGAGGTAGCCCAGTCCTACACTCATGAAACCAACCTTCAGCAGCCTATCTGTGCCTAGAAAAGGTTCTCATATGGATAACTGAGCAAGAGAGCCAAGACGGAAATGAAGAAAAGAGATAAGGTAGGGATGGGAGAAGAGGCCAGAGTACCTGAGAAAGTAAACCATTATATTTTTTAAACCCTACTTTGAAGCAACAGAAGAAGGAGCCCTATGAGGTTAGAATCCAAAGTATAATAAGCTTGTCATTAAGGAAATTAAATCCCTCGCCCTCCCATACACCTTTTCTGATGTGGTCAAAGAACAAACTACCCCTACACACGGTCTTCCCAAAGGGACTGATCCTGCCTGTCCCTCCTCGGGCCACTGCAGCCCTGTGCAATGTGAAGAAACTACAGAACTGCACCAGGACTGTGCCATCAACAAGATGCAGACCATGGCAGCGTGTAAGGCCACTGCTGGGTGTGCCCACCCCTGCTCCCCAAGGCTGCCGCTGCCTAGCGCAATCAGCTCTGTTCTTCATCCCTGGCCCTGCTGGCATACTCTCAGGTTCGCTAATTCTCAGTGGAATGAGATGTGAAGCTGAGATTCGGGGCTTCCTGCAAACGTTCTTCCCAGTCAAAGCTGTTAGCTGAAGGAGGCTGGACCTTCGGACCTCTTAGCTCACTGCGCCACTGGGTAGACTCCCAGGTCCTTTCCCTCTTGTCCTTTTCTACTAAGGACCAGTTCTTCACAGTATAACTCTGTCTCCCATGACAAAGTGCGCCGGCTCAAATCTCACTGGCTCTGCTGCCGCCTTGCAGTTACTGTTTTCCACCCAAGCTGCAAACGGAATTTCCCACCAGCCTTGCGGGGACTCAGCCCTTGTGTGTGTGCATACGCCTATCATAACAGTTAATATATTTATGTATTTACTGCCCCCCCATGAATTCCTTCCTTTTACTAGTTTTTGTTCCTCCTTGGATCATAAAATATGATGTGTGAGTTTTATCACTGCAGTTTTTTTCTACAGAACCTAAACTGGTACTACATAAATAAAGCCTCTCCAATAATTTTTAAGAGAAAAATAAAAGTTCTAATATCGTGTGGTCTCAAGCTTGGGTCACATGGAAAGTGCTCACCTGGGGGGTCAAGGAAGGGGACCTCAGGAAGCTTCAACCACACAGGTGACACTTATTTCTCAAGCTGGCGGGTACTGGTCTGGCAGTGTTCAGCCTACCTTTTTCCATGGCAAACATCACATGAAGAAGTTTCCTGAGATTCCTACACAAGCTGCTCCCCCACAGGTCTCTGGAGATCACACGTGGCCCCTCTCCGGGCTGTTCTCCAAGCACCAATGCAGGGGATTAAGAAACTCCCCCCTCCAGTATGGAAAACAGGCTCCCTTCTCAGTTGCATCCCAAGTTCAGCACTCCACTCCTACAGCATGCACTGGCAGCCATCCCAGCCCTTCGTGCCGCCCCATGAACCTCGGGCAGGAAGCCAGAAGAATCAGTGCGTCTACCTGAGCCGCCGGGCTGGGCCCAGGGCCTGCATTCACTGCCAGTACCCATGAAGCACTAACGGCTCACGGTGAGCTTCTAAGTCATTCTGAGGCTCCAAAAGTGACACCCCAAAATACAGTAACCTGCTACACTGACGATTTTAAGTTATAGGCCCCAGGAGAGTAGTGGATGCTAGGAGAGGTTTCATTCTGACATTCTCTCATCTGTTGGGAGACCAGACCCCCACAGGAGAAGCCATGAGCTTTGGTCCACTCCCTGGGTTTTCATGAACTAAATTCCTGCCTACAAAAAGGAAGATTAAAGAATGTAACCACATCTGAACAGATCTCACAAGGTATTCTCTATCATCGAGGCCCATTCGATTCCCTAAGAAAATCATTAGTCAGCTGCAGTGGCACATGCTTTACAACTCCCCCAGCACTCTGAGAGGCTGAGACAGGAGGATTACAAACTAAATCCCAGCCTGGGCAACCTAGTGAGACTGTCTAAAAACAAAAATAAAAAGGACTGGGGCTATAGCTCGGTAGTAGAACACACCTGCGCTCAACCCCCAGTGGGGAAGGGCGGTACATGTCACACTCTTGTACTGTGAGTGCACTGAGCCCTTGCATTCTCCTAGAATCATTTATTCCCTTTAAAATTGTTGTGTGCCCCTCACAGAAGACGGTGTGAGCACTCAGACCTCATGAGATTACACCACTTTGGAACACCCACCTTGCTGTGACTGGCTCCTGCACATGAAAATACGTTCGCCACCTTTTTCCCCCACTAATCTCACTGTCAGTTCATCCCAGCAAAATTCAGAGGGACAGGAAGAAGCTTCCCTTTATCCCACAACAGGGCAAAATAAAATCCCAAACCACTACACTTTCACTGATTTTAATTCATTTAAGACCTTTCTTCCCCCAGGGCAAGGGGACAGAACAGGGCTTTGCATGTGAAGCTACATCCCCAGCTCTTTTTGAGACAGTGTCTCACCAAAGAAAGTTTTCAGCTTCTATGAGTTAAGAACATATGCTTGGGCTGGGGCTTTAGCTCAGCAGGATAAGTGCCTGCCTGGCAAACACAAAATCCTGAGTTCAATTCCCAGTGAAAAAACAAAACAAAAAAAAAAACCCATGCTTCAGTTCAAAACTTGGCTCTCTCGCTGGGGATTTAGCTCAGCAGTGTAAGTCCCGGCCTGGCAAGTGCAAGGTCATGGTTCAATCCTTGGCACAATAAAAAAAATAAAAATAAAAACTTGGCTCTCTGACTTCTGATGCTGTGACTTTAGGGAAACAATCTCACAGGACTGTTGGGGCAATTAAAAGAACATATATTACACTACTGGCATTTAATAAATGCTGAAAACATAAACAAAGAGTAACTGTTATTTATAGATCCCATTGCTGTCTCCATTTAGAAGAGGCTTAAATTATTATCTTAAAAAGATAAAAAGTTTTAGAAGGCTTAGATGTTATCCCAGGACTCAGTTTGTCTTGAAGAGACAGCCCCAAGACCTATCTTTGCTACCGCATCCACTACCTTTTTTTTTTTTTTTTTTTTTTTTTTTTTTTTTTTTTTTGAGACAGTCTCACTATGTAATTCAAGTTGGACTTGAACTCACTGTGTATTCCCAGCTGGCCTCATGGCAATCCTCCTGCATCAGCCTCCCAAATTCTGCGATTACAGGTGTGCACCATCATACATGGCCATCCTCCACTTTCAGGGCACCTATATCTATCTGTTCTACTCAGGTCTCTTGATAGTGAAATGAGCTGAGTTAATGTTCCCTGGAAAGTTTTTCCAGTATATCCCACTCTGGCTCTGGAAATAATTTGCATACTTTGTACTCGGGTACTCATGGTTCACAAGAGAACAGCCAAAGACAGGGAACAAAATTATCAATAAATAATTTATCAATTAAAAGCAGGCTTGTGGGTCGGGGATATGGGTCAGTGGCACAAGTGCCCACCTGGCAGGTGCAAGCTTGTGAGTTCAATCCCCAGTACCAAAAAAAAATCAAGCTTGTACAGCCAGGACTAGCACAGCCCTTATAGTTCCCACAGGGAACTAGTTCCAGGATCCCCTGCCCCCAACCCAAACCCACAAGTGCTGAAGCCCCTTATATCAAACAGTGTAATACTTGCAAGTAAACACTGTATACCCTCCCATGTACTTTAAGTCACCTGTAGATTACTTCTAACACCTAGTACAATTGAAATGCTGTATAACTGTCAGGCTCTACCGTTAGGGACCAAAGAAAAAAGTCTGTGCATACAGAGGACAGACTCTACATTGCAGGGTTTTTTAAATAATTGCAGTCTGGGGTTGAATCTGTGGATGCAGAGCTCTGGAAGGCTGACCACAAACCAGCTCTCTCATTAGCTAAACAGAGCAACAGCTCAAACAGCTCAAACTCTGCC